GTATGCAATAAAATTAATGCGTGCCGCACACACACACGGCGTATGCTTAACGATTCACAGAAATCAAATTAAAATGCATAAAAAATAAATAATCTAATACGTTTTCTAAGTAATGCCTGATGAGAGTTTTTTTTTAGTTTCCTGCCTCTGCCGCTGCCTCTATCGCTGCCGTTGCCTCTGGCATTGCTCTGCCTTAATTGTATCTAAATAAATGACTTGTTTATGTTTAATGAGAGATCGGCAGACTTGTTTCTTGCGTGCAGCACACCGCAGCTCTTTTCTTCACATTTCCCAAGAAACTGCTCAAAGCGGTTTGGAATCCAGACTTTGACTCTTTCTGTTTGTGTATTAATACCCCTCTTGGTGATTGTACACCGGATAGGGTGGTGATATATTGGTATATATATTGGTATCTACATATATCTTGGATTGTGTAACTATTCGAACTATATTTGATATTTCCGTGACTAGCAGCTGATTATTTCGGATATCTTGTAGTCCGAATACGAATGTAGTCCCGACCTGATTGACTGAGTTCTTACTCGTCTCTTACGTCTTCTCATTGCATTGTTGTTTTGTCGCAATGAATTTGATTGAATTAACGCTTTGTATCTCCTGGGGGCTGCCTGCTCTCGCGGCTCACACAGATAAATAACAGAACAGAACAGAACGAAACGAAACGTTTCCTCTTATAATAATATAATGAAAACTCAAGTGATTTGATTTAGTTGGATCGCAGATCCACAGCAGCAGAAGCAGCAGGCGGCAGCAAAAATTAACCAACCGAAAGCAGAGTCGAGTCGAGTCTTGTCATGTCATGACGAGAGTTTCACTTGATGAAACCTGTAGTCGGTGGTCGTTGGTCGTTGGTCGGTGGCTATTGATTGTTGTTTCTGTCATTAAGTCGGAAGTCAGAGGCGCCATGATATGAGTATGGTGCGGCCAGGCTTCAGAGGCGGCAAATGGCAAACATATATCTCATACCATATCAATAGCAGCGTCGTAGTCGGTCTTCTTTGGCCCGACCTGGCCTCATCCTCATCCTTGAACCATCGCAAAGACATTGGCTTTCGCATTTGAATGGCCATTTGGCCGCGGCATTTGGCGTTTTATTAGCATTTTAATAAATACACAGCAGCCGCTGGAGCAACAAATAGACGTAGTACGTAGTACTACTCCTATATGACATCTCTCTCGCGCCTCGCTTTCAAATGGCGTGCAAAAAATAAAACACGATACGAAAATGCCAAAGCCAAAGCCAATTGCATGTAATGTACTGGGGAGGACAGGGGCTGGGCAGGCAGCATCAAATTAAGTTATAAATGTATGTAAAAATATAAGCTTTATTTTTTTTTGGTGTGGTGCTAATTGTGGGGCAGCGGGATGGGATGGGATTTACTCTGCCAACAAGTCAATTACACTTGGGAGCAACTCTCGAATTGTTTGGATTCGGATTTGTGGCCCAAACAGTAGTAGAAGTGCCAGCAGCAGTCCCATGACTTTGATTCCAGCCCCCCAGCCGGAGTTTAGACATCAAATGTCTCTGCCAAAGGCGTCAGCAGCAGCAGCAGACAATTATCAATCGAATTAGCAGGTGGTGTCTAAATAATTTGCCCAATATCAAGTCAGGGGGTAATGGATGCCAAAAAAATACGAGTATTTCACAAGACTCGAACCGAAACTCTTATGGCTCTCTCGGATACTGAATCATTCAAAGAGTGCATTATGTTTGAAACAAGCTCAATGGTATTCCATAATTTAATTAAATATAAATTGAATGTCGATTTTAATATTAAGCTTATCTCCGATTAACATTCTCCAGCTAAATTGTGGCTTAAATGATTCATAAAAATTGCAAATCTAACGGATGGCAGAAAAGAAAGTCAGCTTGGTTCCAATCAATGGAATATTCCATTTTGTTATTGATCACATACACATACACATACACATACTCGTATTTAGCATCTTTCGAGCCGCAGCTAAACAAACGGATCTAAAGTCGCCAGAGCACCCGCCCCCACCGCACCCACCAACACATGGACCACACCACTGTCCGTCGATTAGCAACAAAATAAACTATGCTAAACAGATTTCAGCCACCGAGCTTCGGAGGAGGTCCACTCCACCCCGAGCCTCATCTTCTTCTGTATCTGTGTCTGCCCATCTAGATTGTTATTTATAAGTATCTTGATTTATCTACATATCTACGTGCGAGTGTGTGTGTGGTGTGTGTGTAAGTGTGTACGGTATTTGTATACACTTGCAGAGGGTATTACGATTATGAGCAGAAGCAAAGAAGTTCCGACCTGCAGACCTATTATAGACATATCTGACTGAAACCCTGCTCTGATCATTCGATTTGCTGCATGTTTATCACTTCATTATATACTATAGTAGCTGACGTATCTGTGAGAATAACATTGCTGCTGCTGAAGGAATACATTAAAATATTTTTAGTTTTGATGGATTCAATCAAAATCATAAAGAACGATGGATCTGCAAGCGTATCAAACGCTTTGGGCCCCTTAAGCTGGCCTTATTTTCTTAGCTTTAACGTACACATCTGCTCAAGGGGGGGGGTGGTGGTGGAGTGTATTGTGGGGTTAGAGCGGGAGCGGGAGCCGCTGCTGTTGCTGTTGCGGTGCTTGAAACTCAACCAACCGGTTGACTTTTATGTCTTTGCTGATTTTTGCCGTAGCTTTGTTTTTGCTGCTGTCTTGATGATGCTGCTTTTGAGCGTCTTTTTGGGCTATGGGACAGACACGTTTTACTTTTATTTTTGTTTTTTTTTTTTAGCGCTTGGCACAGGCTGTGACGGACGAGCCGCCATCTCATCCAATCCCAGCGATGAGGCGGAGCTCGCGCAGACAAGAGGGCACACCAAACCAAACGACACAACAAAAGAGCGAAGCCGCTAACCAAGTTAACAAACTGGCCAAGATCATAGGAATCCGGACTCAATGTCGTGTCTGGGCCGTAATTTAGATGAGAGCCAAAAGCAAACATCAATCGCTTCCCAGATGAAGATGTGCAGGCACCCCTCGGGGCGCAATACGAGACAGCCCCCCAAAAAAATGTATAAAAAACAACAACATCTACATTCGAGTATGTGTGTGTATTTCTGCCGCATTCCTTGGCTACGATACGCCGATGACACAGCTCTATTGATCACTGACTGAATGGAAGCTTGGAAGGGCTTATAGCAGGCGTCACTATGCGTATAGTTTTCCACCGGGTCAGTGGGTGGGAAAGTCTATTGTTATCCTGATTATTTGCCCATCTGACAAGATTTTTCGGCTATAAAAACAAACATGGCTGGCTCTCCCATGCGTGTCTATGTCTCTTTGCTGTGTGTGTCTGTGTGTGTTTTTACTGCTTTTCGATTACTAATACTGTTACTCGTGTACACCTGCTCCAGAGGCAGTGAAATCGGTTTTGCTTTGAGTCGTTTTTCCACATGTTTTACTTCTCTGAGATTATTCGGAAATTTGCGTAATTTCCAGTTTTTCACAAGCACAATGGATGGATATTTGCATGCACTTATTATATTTGTATTTTATTAAACATTACGGTATCTTTCCATACTCATATATACATATGTAAATATGTACATATGTATATATTTATGTGTTATCATTGCGCGGGGGCGTATTTCGCTTATTTCGCCTAATACGTTAGTTTAAGTTCGTTTTAGCTCTCAAGCTGCCTTTTAAAATTAGTTACACACACACACACACACTTATATGTATACATACATAGCAGGCACTTACACTTGCACGAATTGCCGTTACTTTGATTCTTGACGAATTTGTTGTTGCACTTTTTTCGTTCTATTTAGTTTGTGTCGCCGCTGCTGATGTTTCACGCTTCGTATACTCGATGCGAATGTTAACTAAGATCGCGTTTTATTTTGTTCTCTTTTCGTTTCTCCGTGTCGGTTTCTGTTGCTGTGATTTTTCTGTATTATTTTCGCCCGATCCGCTGGAGACGAGCCGACAATATATCTAAATACGTTGAAGTGTCCGAACCAACTGGTTGATCGTGTGCTGCGCTCTGAAGCAGTACGTTCTCTCTTCCACAACCGAATGAATCTCTCTCTGCTCAATGAAGCTTGGCTTTGGAGTTGCCACTGCGTTGGCATTTGAATATATGAAATAAAATTGGTCAATCATTCATCTCCCTGAATGCCAACGAAATCTTTTTGGGATTTGGTTTAGATGTAAAATTATATTTTCATTAATTACTTAAGCCCGCAAAGTTGTTGAATTGATTTGTAACGTCTTTTCAGCCTTCGACAACTCTGCTGGGCTCTCTCTCTCTCTCTGTGTCTCTCGTGGCGAGGAATTGATAGATCGCAGCCAGGCCAGCGTTTGTTAAGAAAAAAATGTAAATTAAATTATAACTAGCGGAGGCAACAATGGGCTTAAGTAAAACCCGGCCCCTGCGCTTACTGCAACGTAGGCTCTCACGCAATTAGCCTTCCCCCCGGTTCCCGCCAGCCACAGCCGGCTTAAATTACATCTCCCAGTGGTGCTCCGTGTTTTGTTTTTTTCTTGGCGCGGGTGTCGCTGTAATGATATGATACGTGCGAGCGTGTGAGTGTATGTGTGTGTGTGTGTGTGTGTGGGTGATGGGCAGAGGAACAGAACCCATCAACGCCGCCCGTTTTCAACTTAACATCATTTAATGGAGTTGTTGTTCCTTCGCGAGTCCGTCTCGCAGATTGAATTAATACGCTGATTTATGTAAATTACACTAATTCGGATTACTCAATTTGTTATTCAATATTCATGGCCTGCCAGGCCTCAGAGATCTGTCCCAAGAATCGTTTTATATTTTTCCAAATGGTTTTTTTGTTGTTTGCTATCAGCAAACATACCCGTATAAAAACCATCTACAATAGCACGTGATTCATTTTTTTCTGTGTGAGGAAATCCCCCTTTATATCTAGCGCATCTAATTTCCGTAACAACGAAGAGTACTTTAATCGCGGGTTGCTTTTTTTTAACATTTTAAAACTTGTATTTGTACATTCTTTCTTTTTATATTAGTTTGAGCAAACCATTTTGAAAAAAATACATAAATAAGTACACTGAAACTCGTATTCTTAGGTATTTTAATCCACACCATATGCCCTGACGAGCTTCTCCAATACTTGCGGATTCTTCTTGGGCCAATTCTTTATCTTATTCAGTATAGACGACACCACTGTGAATACACAAAAACCAGACATTAATTGAGAGATTCGTAAAGAATGACCATAAATAAGTAAGTTACTTTTCTTCTCCTCAGCTGACATGAGCATGGCCAAAATGGGGAACTCGTCATTTTTGCTAATCTCCAGTAGGACACATGCCGTTGTGGGCTCTTTTTCCGGCACATAGTAGTCCTGAACGGTGCACAACAAATCATTGAATGTGTCCGAATCGAAACCGGCACCAAGAATTTTGCAAAGATTTTTTATATCTATAGATTTTAAGTACTGATATTTCTGCGTTGCAGATAGCTCCTTCCAGGTTATGTAGAATTGGGCTGTACCCGATGGGGCTGGCGGCAGTGCTCGCTGTAATAATATTGAAAGTGAAACAAACATTTTTTATACGAAAATCATATTCAGCTTACCTCAACGGGAGGGGTTCCTCCAACCTTGTTGGAGCCAGATTCGATCTTGGGTTTATTTTCTTGTTCTTTGCTTGATGTTTTTGATGAATTTAGAGGAGCATCAATCGTATTTTTAGACACTTGTGAATCTTTGCTTGTGGTTTGGGATGGTTTGACTTCAGTCACTGGATTTTTGTTAAGATTTTTGGATATTTGTTGATGGTTAGCAGACTGTTTAGCTTCCTTCACCGCATCTGCCACGGTCTGTTTGGCATCATTGCTTGGATTTTGGGATATCTTTATAGGAGCAGCAGACGCATCTTTTTTTATGTTTTGGTTTTGCTTTACACATAAAGCAGGCGGTTCAGAATCAACAGATTCCCCAATGGGCGTTGCTGTGGGTGGATTTGGGGTTGTCTTCAAGTCCTCCTTTTTAATCTCTTTGTATGGGCCGCAATAACTGTTGAAGATTTTGTCAATGTCATCGTCTGAGATGCGTAATGGCTTTGCCTCATCAGTGGAGGGTCTGGGCGATACAATATCTGTAATGGTCACTCGACGCATCGATTGCTTCGAGCGTTTGTAAACCGGCTTCTCGATCGGCAATATGTCAATTAGGTCAGGGCGATCTGCGCTAAAATTGGGACCGTTTTTTGTGGCTGAAAATAAATATTGATAAGCCATTAATAAACATTATTTAGACACTTGATTCCCTTTCAGTTCCCCCTACCATTTTTACGTAGGCGCTCGTTTATGCGAACCAAACTTTGTTTGCCCTCTATGTTTTTGGGATCAATGGCCAGCACTGTTGTGCAATCCTTCAGCGCTTCCATGTTGTTGCCAAGGGATTCATTCGCCTGCATCCGTCTGTAATAGGCTTTCACGCAGAGCTTGTCTAGGCTAATGGCAGCCTCACAATCGTCCACGCAACAGTCAAACCTGTCGCAATAAAATGGGTTAGTGCTGGAACGCTCTACACCACATGACCCCATCTTACCGCTCCTGCTTGAGGTAGCACAGGGCTCTATTAATGAAGTAGACTGGATCGTAGGGATAGGCCTCCACGGCTTCTGTATACGCCTCGATGGCTCTGTCGTAGTCGCCCTGCTTAACATAGTTATTGCCGCGGTCCTTTATGTCGTTGGCCTTCTTGTGCTGCCGAGCCACCGGATCCCCCGGCGGATCTTTCTTCTCTGTTGGAGTATCGGCCGCAGAACTACTGGCGCTCTGCTGCTCAGTTTGTCCAGATTTCTGGACATGACTGCGCACTGGCATTTTCTGCAACAGAGGAGAACATAAAAACAATATTAATGTGAATGCATGCGAGTGTGAGTCTGCACATTTGAGCTTACAATATTGGCGGCAGCGGCGGCTGGTGCCTTCTTCAGTTCCATCTCTTGGTTTTTTATGTCCTTCTCCCACGAGTATAAATCTTTCAACGAGCTTTGTAACTCCTTGGCATTCTGACGCACCTGGCGTTGCATTTCAAAGGCCTTTTCTGCGCTCATTTCAATTTATATTTTAGCTTTTTCTAATTGTTAAACGAAATTTTTGTTATTTTTGTTGCTGCCAGTGTGACCGCGGAATTATCGTTCAAATATACCGTCGGACTGTCAGAAAAATACCGTAAATATACAGTGGACAAAACCAAGTTTAAACATCGATATTTCAATTGTTTTTTCATTGATAGTTTCATTGATACCGATAACTCGTTTCATTATTTCATTGATAATTTCATTATTTTCATTGATAACGATAACTGCGTTTCATTATTTCATTGATAATTTCATTATTTTTTCTTTGATAGAGTGAGGGCGGAGGGGCGGAGGGGCGGAGGAAATGCCCAACGCCACAGTCTGGCTATGATTGGGCTGAATTATATTCTGGCAGCCAACACAATGAAGCCTCTGCTCCACGTCTGGCCCTTTCTCCAGATGGCGCGTACCTGGCCGCATGCTGAGCACCCTCTCTGGATCTCACCTTCTCAGTTGCACCGCTGGACAATGGCAGCCAGGAGGGCAGTGAGGCTCCTACCTATACACAGTGTCCCTAGACCGCTGCTGCAACGTATATGACTTGAGCGGTGGCATCATGCTCCTCAGCATTGTGTTCCCAAGGCGTTTGTGTTTCACAATTGGCGAGCGCCACGGATGAAGGTGAGTGACTCCAATAAAAATGACATGGTTAATCATGGTTGTTTACAGGAATACCACCTGGAGGAGGACGAGACTCAGGCCTTTTGGCGGTGAGGATAAGCAAGTCTGCGTTCGGGATGTTGCGAGTCGGCAGCTCATGAAGAGTATTCCCCAGAACGGCGTGATCACCAATTTGAGAATCCGTCTTCTCAGTCCCGGCATTTTCCAGCCGCAACACAAGCAGCCACAATTATTCGCAGACAGTCTGAAGCGTATGATCAGCCCTCCGGATCTCAATGATTACATTGAGTTGTTCGTCACCAAGGAGTACCCCAAAGAACGTGGCAGCTCGTAAATCTGTGCGACGATGACGATGCTATTGACTTTGACGAGGAGACGTTGGAGTTAACTGAACAATCTCCCAAAGTTGCAGATGTGCCTTCAGCGGACGTTGGCGAAGTTGATTGTGATAATATTGAAGAGGAAGACTATGAGGCCCATTCCAATGCCCCTGCATTACAGGAACTTATCGCCAAAACGAAAACGTCAAGGCTCCGCCGGAGAGAAATCGCAAGAAAGCTCGCAGGAGCTAGGCCTGTGCTCCACCCTTTTGTTTACTTAGACGTTAGCATGTATGGTATGCTGAAGTGCAAGTCGCAGTTAATGGAGGAGCAGGAAAATGTGACATTAATCATCAATCGTCGAAATTCTGTTCGCCCCAAACCAAAGAGCTGGACGTGGAACGTACTTCGGTGCAGATGGCAGAAGAAATTAGTGCTGTTGCTGATACTAATTTGTATGTGTGTTCTTATTATTTACGCCAACACGCATGTATTAGTTCGGGGAAACATACTATCAGCATTTCTTTCGAGCCGCCTTAACAAATTATCACACATTGAAAACCAAGAGACAAAATATTCCGATGCCCAAAAAACAACGACGGTCCTTCAGCAACAGCCCATCTTGAAGCCTATCCACTATTTGCTGAACTTTTCCTCCCCGCAGCTGGAACTGGGCGCACAGTTGAATCACCTTTCTTCGGACTATAATATATTTATAATTTATACCAAAGAAAACTACCATCTAAACCTAAAACTCGATCTGTTTGCACACAGTCTGCTTAAGCACACGAGTGCCCAACTCCATCTACATGTAATCACCGACAAAGAGAGCTCCAGCTCCGTGATGGAGATCCTTCAACGGCAAATTCGAAGATTCCGATTTGGATTTGGATTGATATATACGATGTATGACGTCAAAGTCTGCTCTACCATAATAGAGGATATAGCTGCCAAGTTGTCGCCATACTTCAGCTCAGGGCCCAACTCTTATTATAGCGACTCGCTGTTTTTTTTGTCCCTCGGGTTGCATAGAATCGCCGATGCAAGCTTAAACAGAGTCATTCTGCTTGATTGTGATATAGTCTTCCGTTCTGATGTTCGGTTACTCTTCAATGAATTTGATCACTTTCTGCCGCATCAACTCTATGGACTGGCGCCGGAACTTACTCCAGTTTACCGACATATCCTCTACCGTTACCGCGTACGTTTTCCAAAATCTGGCTTTGGCAACCCATATTATCCAATTAACCACGAAATGGGAAATCAACACAATCGCAACAACCATGAGCGCCATGGTTATCCGGGTCTGAACTCTGGAGTCGTACTGCTGCTTTTAGATCGCATAAGGAGCTCAAAATCATACCTGGAAAAGCTTACAAACTCTGAAGTGCAGACGCTGGTCGCCAAATATTCCTTCAAGGGTCATTTGGGAGACCAAGATTTTTTCACCTTGCTGGGATACGAGTACCCCAACTTGATATATAGATTAGATTGCGTGTGGAATAGGCAGCTTTGCACTTGGTGGAAAGATCATGGATATAGTGACATATTTGACGCATATTTTCGCTGCGATGGCAATATCAAAATGTATCATGGCAATTGTAATACACGAATTCCAGAATAAATAGTTTACAAATTGTTATAGCAATATAAAGAGGTTGCGTTTTTGTATTAAAGGATATATTTATGGCCACTCTACTATGCAGTACAATGTTTGTATATAAATTTCTAGACCATCCATATGAGCATGAAATGATAAGTAAACGGCTTTTTTTACAACAAAACGATTCTTTATTGCAACAGGAAAAAAATAGGTGAGTGATTGACGCATTGATATGGATTTTAAACCATTGCCAGTGCAACTAAACTTGTGCCCTTTTTATAAATAATTTGTATTAAAACCAATTTGTATTTGCAACAGTGAATTCGTCCAAACAGCTGTCGCAGTCCGATTTTGCTATCGATAGGCCTTTATATCATTGCATTTTGCAACACCTGTCAGTCAGCTGTTACCTATTTGTTGCGTTTTTTTTTGTAAATAGTTTGTTTAATTTCATTTCCTTTCGCTCAAAAACATGAACTAAATTTCAGAGGTCCTTGAACGTTTAAAATGCTGAGGCTTACCTGCCTGCGACTCAGGGTCAAGTCCGGCTGTACGCGTAAGTAAGGAAATTTTAGATTTTGTCGTTATATAAAATAATACTATGTTTATTGCGCAGTTTGGCTCAAGACGGGCGGAGCATGAAGGCTAGAAAACCGGAGACCCACTACCAGGTTCTAAACGTACGGAGCGACTGCAGCACACAAGACATCCGCACCGCATTCGTGGAGCTCTCCAAACAGGTAAGAGTCGGTCGCGCTGGACAGGCCAAAATCAAGTGGTTTTCTATATTCTTCGGTAATTTCCAGTACCATCCCGATGTCAAGACAAACGCCTCATGCTCTGAGAGAACTGCACGTTTTGTGCGGATTTCCGAGGCATATCGCACACTGATTAAGCCACAGACACGCCGGGACTATGACGATAGTCTGGTTTGGCTGCCATCTGGTTCAGAGCGCAGTCCTGTTGGCGGACACAGTGATTCCTCGCAGCCGTGGAATGTGATGCCGAACTTCGATCCTAGTCCCGGGCCCTACTATGGCATAAGGGGCCTGAAGCGTGTGTCCAACTGGCAGGTCGCCTTGGTTCTGATAGCCTTTGGGGTCGTTGGTGCTTTCTTTGGCTTCACTTCCGTCAAGTATGTTTTGAGTGTATTTCGGTTCGTATTTATGTATGTATAATTTATCCCATTTGTTGCACGATGAAGGCACTCGTTCGACCTGCATCGTCAGGTGCAAGACGAAGTCTCGGCAGACGCCACTACCCACCATGCCGCTGTTGTGGCAGAAGCACAGAAATATGGCAACGAGGAACAGATGCGCCGAATGGCAGATCGTCTGGCCCGCAACCCCTACAATCAGTCAGCAAAGTAGCAGAAAATAAATCCACCGGGTCTTTGTATATGTAGTGTAGCTAAATTAAACGACAGATTAGTTAGACACACTCGCTGCTTGATTTTGGTTCAAGGCAATGATCTGCTCTGTTCAATTATTTTGCAAACATCCAAAAATTTCGTCGGCCTTCGCATGGAGTTGCAAACTGTGCAAACAAGCTCGGCGCCTACTTAAGCGCTCCCGCTGGGCTTACCGAAGTATAACCAAGTCAAGCATCGACAAGACATCGCAAGACTTCGACAGTTCCCAATCTCAATCTCAACATGAAGCTAATCTCGATGACCTGCGTTTTGTGCCTGGTGGTTCTCTGCTGCCTGGATGATGCTAAGGCCCAGGACGCTTCGACCAGCAGCCCGAGCAGCACCAATACTGGAAACGCCAAGAACGTGTATGTAACCAATTTGAGGTACACTGCTGTCAGGCGGATCCGTGTGGGCAGCTCCACCATCAGCAGTGTAACCACCCGCAGTGCCTCAGTGGGTAACAGGAACCTGAGGGCCAAGCGTTCCAAGGGTAAGGCTCTGAATGGTCGCAGGGCCAGGAGCTAAGCACTTTGGGAAGGATCCTCATCCGTTTTTCTATGCTCTGGCCATGTTATCTATTCAGCTAAAAGTCAATGTTTTATTTTGAGCTCGTTCTAAACACACAAAAACACTTAAGTTTATCGACGGGTGAATTAAATTATATAAATACGTAACTTGTACTGTTTGTCTATGCTATTTTGAATCGGACAGTAGAGACACTTGAGATGGCACTACCTGGAACCCGCCACCGAACTACAAACTAAAGAATCACATAGTACAAAATCCGAACTGCGACGAGGGAGGACCAGTACCAGTCCGGTCCAACTGCTGGTCATATCTACAGCTTTGTTATTGGCGCAGCCTGTTTGCCGTCCAGATCCAGCTCCAGCTCCTTGGCCATTATCCGCATTCCGACATGCGGATGGGCCGGCTTGAAGACAACCTTTCCATCTGGCTGGTACTCGGAGAACTGCATGCTGAACACCTCGTGGAAGCCCAACTTCTCCATTACCCGGGCCGAGTAGTGGCTCGAGCAGAGCACATGGTAAACGTTAATCCCATTCTCCCGCATGTACTCGTACGCCCGCTCCGTCAGACGCCCGGCAATGCCCAGGCCGCGGTAGTTGGTGTCCACGGACAGAATTTTACCATCCAGAATCAGCTCCTCGTTGGGATAGTGGTCGAATATATTAAATTTCTCCTCAACGTGATCCATTAGGGAGAGGATCTTCTTAAATTTGGGATGATCACACGAATCGGCTGCCTTTTCAGGTACGTCGTCCGGAGACTGCAAGGAAAGTTGAGAATTATATAATTAGCTCAGACTCTCTCTTTCTCTGGCTAAAAGTAAGCTGTTCTACCTACCGGGCGTCGCATCAAGCCGTTCAGGAATATACCAATGATGTCGCCCCTTTTGTTAACTGCCTTGTAGGAGCAGTTATCGGTTAAGGGCTTCAACGAGTAGTTCTCCAGCTCCTTGCACTCCCCGAGATCTAGAAAAGTATTCAGCGGCTCGTCCTGGAGTGACAAAATATACATAGGGATATATTGGTATCCAAGACACATCCCATCCCATGCTATCGTAAATTTAACGATCGTTAGAAGACATTAAACGACTGAACAAATCACTGCCATAATTGTGTGACACGATAATGGAATTGGTGAGCAATTTAAATGATTTGTGCACGCATTCGCGATGCCTTATACTCGTAGTTTATAATTTATAGAGACAGTTCGTTGATAGGGAACGGAACTGCAACTGCATTTGCATAAAATCATTTAGGCGGCGGGTCGGGGTGGCAGGTGGCAAGTGGTGACGCGTGGAATGAATAATTTGCATAGCTAATTATATAAATATGGGCTTTGGTCATCCAATAAGCCTTTGGCCACTCATTGGATGGAGTTTTGATTAGAATTGAGACGGTAGGTAGGTAGGTGGCTGGCGGTAGGCGGTAGCATTCTCATTGGCCGGCGCATGGCATTTTCGAACGAACTGAAGTGGAATGGAACCTGAATAAGTCAAGATCAACTCTGGCATATTGATTTCAGCGACGACAAAGTCGTGATGCAAAACCAGCTGAAAGTTAGCCCTGACATGGATCATGTCCGCACCGCGACACCCGAATATTGAAAACCGTTCCCATTCCCATTCCCAAAGGATACGCCAAGTGCTGGTGGTATCTTAATGAATGTAACATTTTTACGAGGGTAGTATGCGAATTTCGAATTGAATTAAATCAAATTAAGACGATCGATCGGACGGACGGACGGTTGGAAAGGTACGTGTTCGTGCTAATTGAAATTCTTTGGAAACGCTATTCAAATTTGGTTTTGTATTCGTTCTCTCAACTCACAGCCAAGTACTTAGTTGGATCGGATCGGACATAATGGGTGAAATAAATTCACAAATCCCAAATCAGTGAACCCAGGTGTTCAGCTTGATTGGCTTTCATGATATGCAAACTGAATTCCCCAACGACTATGAGTAGCCATCTAATTGTGGGAACCAGCGAATAGCCAACAGTCTTACCTTGAAGAAAAACGTCTTGAGCATGGCGATCACAGCATCGGCGTCTTCGGGCTGCACCAGCTCTATGGTATAGGGGCAGTCCTTGTCCTTGTCCTTGTCGACGGGCGCAGATGGGGTGGTGGCTGTGGTGGTGGTCGTCGACGCCGCCTTCCCAGACACATTAAGCACGTCCTCCATTTTCTGTGTCAGACGAGCGATGGGATACAAGTCGTTCAGCTGCAAGTGTGTGAGAAGCAGACAAAACAAATCGTTTAGATCCGTTGTGGGTTCGGTTCGGATGGGGACGTGGACGTGGAAAAATAGAAAACAAACCAAACGACTGGGGAGACCGTATAGCAAACATGATAATTTATGGCTCTTAGATGAAAGGCATTTTAATTTGTTCTGTATATTTTGTAGCACATGTGCTGTGGCGACTGCCGCATCGCTGGGGTTCGCTTTTCGCTTTTCACTTGCATTTCCATTTTCAATATTCCATGGTCGAAATATTTCAAAGTCTGTTTTCATGTACGCCTCTGACAAGACCCCATAAATTATAGGCCAAAACTAAGGGTTCCTGTTCTGTTCTGCCGTCTGCCGTCTGCACACGAAATCTCAATATTTTAATAGACTGAGAAAACAGCAGAGGACTTTGTCCCCATCATATCATGGGACAAGATATAATTCTATAAGATAAGATCTACTACATATAGTACATAATACATACATACTCGTAGATAGGTGTTATATGGTATCTCGAAGTACCTGTCTGATATATGATACGAGGGAAAACTGTTTCTAATCTTCAAGACCCAAGATCAAAGAATAATAAAAAGCGAATTTCACCCGCTTCTCATAAACAGTAATTTTCCCGCTGTGAAGACTGATCATAAAAATTGACCAGCAAATATTTCGAAAATTTTCACCTGCCGAATTGCAGAGTATTGGCCCCCATGGAAGGAATGGGAATGCGTATCGTACGTATCGTGCCTATTGTTTACACTCACTTAACCATTTGCGTTGGCCCGGCCGCATCCGCATATCTATTATTGGGTGCACCACTTAGTATTTATAGACCTTTTGCCACTTGACTGTTGGAACGGGGGCAGCGGTAACCCACGCAGATACACTGGGGTCAGGGTCAGGTCAGGATGCTCTGGTTTCCACACTTACCCCACATCTGGAATCGAGCATGTTGCTCTGCATCAACGATTGATCGGGCATGTTCTGGACCTCCATGATGTTCACGAGGTTCGCGGGGTCTGGTGCAAGGTCTGGGATTTGTTTTGCTTTTATGATTTTGTTTATTGCAAAATAACGATAATTTCGCTTGATTTTTTTGTTTTTGTTGTTGTAGTTGTGGAAATGGGGAAATTTATAGCGAAATTTTCCCTTGTTTCAGCGTTTTGCTCTGTTCTTTTTGCCTGGCGCGCGCTTTTTTGCGACGGTTTTGTTTATTTATTCCGCAGTTGGAGCTTTATTTATATTTGTTTCTGTTTGGTTTTTACTCTGCTTTGTTAAACAGTAAAGTAAGCAGACACCACACAGCCGACACACACACGCGCTGCATAAACGATGAATGAAATTTAATATACATATAAAATTGACAGTTGCAAATGAAGTCTTTTCAGGGAGCACGAGAGCACACGAGTGTTTCCCTTATTTGTTGTGGGTGGGTTGAGTAGGGGGTATCCTTGATCTGGTGGTGTATGTGTATCCTTGATGGCAGCTTAGTTGCCTGAGAGCTAGCAGTGACTGCCAAACAGTGGTGTTGCCCTGCACTTTATATAGTCGCCGATCCGAACCGATCCGATACGCAGCGTGAACCGAGCCGAGCGGTACGTGAACTCAGGCAACAGCAACAGCAACAACAATAACTCGAATTCAAATCGTGGTGCGGCGAGAGGAAATATCAGTCTTACAAAGCTCGACATCGACATCGATGCCTGGTCTGGTTGGGTCTCGCCTGGTCCGTTCCGTTGCGCTCCGTTCCGTTGTTGCTGCCGTTCGCAACTGAGAGACCTGGCCAGAACGCTTTGCTGGGCTTCATATGGGATAGATCGATGCGATGGTGCCTCAGCTCTCTCTCTCTCTCTCGCACTTCTGTTCTCTTCCAATCTTTTGGGCAAAGAAAACAGAAAGCATGCCAAGTCTGAGAGACAGGGAGAGAGCAAAGGAAACGTGATTCGTCGTGACCAGCTTTCTTGGCGAAAAATCGAGTTTTCATCTGTTTCCTGTACTATCCAAGACGGATCTTTCCCTGCCCCCATGCCACTTCCGTTCCACCGTTGCTTGGTTTTGCTTGCGGTTTTTTTGTATTGATTTAGGAACTCGTTTATCGAATTTTTTTCTTGATTTATTGCGGTTTCATTTAGATAAGAGCGCACTCTAGAGAACTCCAAGTTCAGCCATGTGATATGTGGACCAACTGCTCCAGTGAATCTTTGGATTTGAGTAGGCTTTGCCAGGGAAGATAAATGTTATCACTACAGCAGATGATACTGATGATGTTACTAAAGGAACATCCAGATAATGAATGGAGTTCCATAAATCTTTATCCGTTACGTCTGTTCGGGGTGTGAATGATTGGCTGTCGGCTGTCCGGCCGGTGCTCCTCTCCTCCATCGTTTGTTTACCTTCCGCTCTCGTCTCGCCGACAAACAGAGCGCACGCCGCTGGCTCAATTAATATGCGACAAAGAAAGAAACACAAAGCTATTGTCGAGGGGGGTCTGGGTCGCTTCTCGCTGCCCCTCTTCAGTGTGCCTGTGTGGGTGGATGGATGCCGAGTATTCCACACTCTTCACATTCCCTTTCTGTGGCGTGCTCTCGGTTTAGTTTTTTGTTTAATTTGGCGCGCGCTCTCTGGCCAATTATCACCCCAGCCCGAACTCTGCCACGCAAATACCATCCCATCCCATTGAAATATTCATATTATTCACTTAATTCATTCCGCGGCGCACTGGTTGGATCCTCATACCCATTCCCATTCCCATACCCATTCCCCCTCCTGTTTTATTTATTCATAATTCAAGCGAAACACCAAACTGTTTTTTCAGCAGTCTCCCTTCTCCCATGTTAGGAATAAAAAAAAATTAAGCAATATTAATATCGTATTATACATACGAGTATGCATTGTATGTATTTTGTTTGCGGATTTTACAGGTTGTTAAAGTGCGCACAAACCAACAACAATTAGTGGGGGGAGGGGGCAACAAAATGCAAATTGTCTCCAAATTTTGTTTATCATGCAAAATCAATGGAAATTTTCGTAGATATTCGTTCGAGTATTCGAGTTCGAGAATTCCATTCCGATTGCATTATAAGTAATTAGTCAGCGCAGAGGCGCGTCCCGTCCCGTCCCCTAATGAGCAGATTTCTGTGGACATATACATATTTATGTATGTCGTGGAACTCGTTTGTGGTTTGTGGTTCCGATCGAATAGCCATTCCGTAATATGTGGTGCACTAAATTTAGCCTCAACTTCAGGTCGTGCCTCTTTTTATTGTCCCTTCCCAAAACTTTTCTTTCTTCGTCGCCGGATGACTGTCCCCAGTTGGGTCATTGTCATCGTCATCGTCATAAGATCTTTCTGGCTGCAGGTGCAGCTGCTTATGAATGTGTATTTATAAACCAATGTACAGTGTACACATTGATTTCTATATACATATATTTAATTATTGTATTGTTCCACAAAATATGGCCGCTTGATGACGATCCGGAATATCAAACAGTTGCATCCAATTTCTGGCAATCGCTTAGTTTATTCAAAGATATTCTCTTCGGGAATAATATTTTGACATTTCCAAGATAATTTTCCATTTGCAATTTCACGTTTTCTTGTGTCGTTTGCGATGATTATGCGGTGTCATGTAGTTAATGATCTTTGCCACCGTTTATGGAGGAATTGAATAGAGCTGATTGAGCGGCCTGCCGAAATTTTGCGACTGTGCCAAACGGGTTTCCACCACCCCACCACCTCTCGGCGCACTTCTGTATGTGTGTGTGTGTGTGTGTGTGATTATGATTATGCATAGCCCCATCAACCGATAACAGACTAATTGACAGTTACAAATGTTTTGCAGCACCTTAAGTTATTCAAACACACATGTTTCCCATGGTAATTATTCGCACACACAGTTGGAACAGTTTGTTTTCCTATGCAAAAATAATTCACACATTCACACACCATTTATAAAGTGTGAAAACACTTTTGGCACACACTGTGCCTAGCCTGCAGTATGCACGAATGATATTCTAGTGCGTTTAATGACTTCTGATTGTAGTACTGCTTGCTGGCTGGCTGTCTGTCTGTCCCGGTCCCGCGTCGTCGCCTCGATGCGATTCTGTTTGCATACGGATAATTAAAATCGCATTAACGCCGTTTAAGTGGGCACGGCATGGCTGGCAATTTGTAAATGAATGTACAATAAAATGATTAAACGCTGCTTCCACTCCACGGACTTGTCGAAAGCAATCAAAATCTTTGATTTCTTCCGTTTAGTCTTTAGCTGGAATTTAGCTCGAATACTGCGGAACTCTTACAGAGGGTTTGACAATGCAATGCATTTCCGTTCTTTAATAAAACATTAACATTATATTTATGCCATATGCAAGGATTAAATGGATTGGACCCTCTAAAAGTCTTTGTTTGTTGCTACAGTTAGAACAGATTTCTATTTTGACAATTTGGTGAACTTACATAATAATATATAATAATAATAATGTTGCGCATCGATGTGTCTTAAAAATGGTATCGATTTAATCCAAAAATTATTTATTTATAGTTTTTTTTTCAAATTGTCTTATGTCTTACGGGACAAGAATTTCGTAGGTTGATAAAAGTTCAAAATATCCCGTTAGCCAAGATTAGGGCAGTGGAGGAACTTTTATAACGTTTTATCTTTATCATAGAAGACAATAATAAAGGCAAACATTTTTTTACACAGGCCGAATAATGCTGAACAAAATTAATTGTTGCTGATTTTATTTGATCGTCCTATCAAAGTTAATGAAATCATATGTCAATAGATGGAATTAGTTGAGTTTCAATTAATTTAGGAAATAATGTCGGGACAGAATATTCCCGCAAATTTTTGTTTTAATTTGTTTGCCTTGGTGGCCCTTTCCATGGTAAAGCCCATTTGTGTATATGTATATTATTTATATACAACTATTTTGTTAAACCTTGTGCATCAATTTAAATGTAATATGGATTAAGGCCACATCCAGTCCAATCGGCTACCAATATTGATTGCTTAATTACCTATCAATATGACAATTATTTAAGGAAAATTCGAACCGGACTAAGGATTGCATGGCTGTGGTTAGTGGGCGTAGCCTCAATCAATTTGCATGCTAACTAAGCGCTGAATAATATTTTATTACATTGTAAGAGGTTGCATGCCAAACAGTCAAGTTTACCGACCACAGTATACCCTCTAGTGCTGTTACAAAACGAAAGCCCCATCTCGTTAGCATATCGTATAGCCTAGCAATGGGATTGAATACTCTGTGGAAGGATTCCCAAATATGTACTCCTAAAAATATATTAGGGGCACTCGTAATTATTACATTTAATCTGCTTGCACTTTGGCATAGGCATAGCGCAACGGCTCTGCTCTGTCTGACTGACTGGCAATTAGCCCTGGCTGTCATATAAATCACAAATTTTTTTTGCATTTGCATGTGCCATAAATCTTTACAAGTGCTCCACGCTCCACGCTTCATGCTCTCGGATCACAATCGAAACGAAATATTTAGCGTCTCGTGGGGGGGCGGGGGACACCAATGCAAGTTTTCGTCATAAATTTTGAAAGTTTGTCGCCAGCTTTTCCGACAATTCCACAAAAGCGGAATTGATTTCCGTCGGCCCCTTGGAGAGGTAATGGCCCCTAGGCCAGAGCCATAGACAGAGCCTGCCCAGATCTAGACAAGTGGCCCGAACGTGACTTGAAACTGAAAGCCCATGTCGGATATGCAAGTTCGATGGGTGTGACCCCAGAGGGAGCGACGCGACGCGACGCGAAGCCGGAGGAGCTGGAGGTCTGAGGCCAGAGACATTGAAAGTTTTTCCAGCTTAATAAAGTTACAAAGCCGCTGCTTCTAATTGAATTAGCCGCTCCACCCAGCCACCACCACCTCCACCTCCATGGCTGCCACAGTCTGAGGCAGCTCCGGTTTTGTAGTACTCGTACAGATATGTCCGCTTTTGTGGGGGTTTTCGCTGGCTTTGGGATTAGCCAAGAGGTGGTATAAGCCCAAACTCATTCGTGTTTGGTAAGCGTTAAAACATATAACAAAAGAGCAGATGGGAAATGGTAGATGAGAGATGGAAGCCTTCGCTTAACCTGCTTCGTGCATCTGGAAATGTGAATGTAAATGTGAATGTGTACGGTAGCCAGTAGTCCAGCATTCGATGTTCGTTCTTTGTGTTACCTAATGTTCCATTCTAAAGACATTAAAATGCTTTTATCGCATCGAGATGCACGTGTGTCAAATGGCTAACACAACACACAATTGTTTCCAAAGAACAAAACAGAAACCCGAACTCAATTATTTATCTGGCTGTTCATGTTTGAACTTCGGTTCGGGTGTCTGAGCAGCAGTTCCAATTCAATGCAAATTGGCCATTTATCATACATACTCGTACATACATACATACATATATCATATTATATTCATATGATATTCCAGATGATTAGCTCTGGGGGTCACAACTACTACTACTGATACATACGTCCGTATGTACGTACTCGTGTGTGGCACAGATATGCATTTCATCTCCGTTTAATTTCAATTCCCATTTCCATAAAGCACAACGTGAAAGGGAGGGTTGAGTCGTGAGTGGGGGGGCGGCCACTACTACTACTATTACTGAGTGCATCAGTAATTTACCCATTTTGGGTGGGGGAGGCCGTAAATTGCATTTTCCTCATTTTGCGCTTATCGTTGGGCAAACTTCATTTAAATTCATCGCTGGCACAGGCAATTT